GACGAATCTGTCGAAAAAACTACGTTGATTACAGCTATTTTCTTGGAAAAAAAAAAGGGCATGGTGGATCGCCAGTTCAAGAACCCAATAAGGTAGTTTCGGATTCCCAATGAACACTATACGACAACCACTATGTGGTTATTTTGATGTGCCCGTTCAATTCCACCAATTGATTTCCTCAACAAATGACAATGAGCTCAAGTCGATCACGTGTCGTGTGAGCACGAGTTGAGTGAAGCAAGTGGTGATGGATTATAATGACATGATTTTATGTGTTGCGGGTAAAAGATGCTTAACTTGTGAAATAGCTTTTTAAAAGAATTCCGAACAGCACACCAGTCTTTTAAAATATATTTTATTTTCCTGAAGTGTGCTCTAAATATAGACTGGTAGTTATAGAACTTTAATATTATTAAAATTATCACAGACCGACCGCACACACAAGATAGGTAAGTATATATACTGTAAATGCGAAAGTCTTTCTTCCTAAATAAATATTTATAAAACTAGAGAATAAGTTACAGTTAAAATATACTTGTGCAGAAAATGTAATTTATGTTGACCCATCATGTTTATCGAATACATTCTGGGAATCCAACATTCAAAACCGAAAACCTGGTAGTTTAATTAACAAAAACCAAAATTATCTCGATATCCCAAAAGGCACAGAATAAAGTAAATTAGTAATATAATGAACAAACGACGAATGTAATTATATTATTTATAAATTTCTACATTTTTTTACAAATATGTGATTCTTATAAAAATGAATTGTGAAGTTTTTGAAGAAGTTGAAACTTATAATGGGTGAGATTCGAACCCTCGACCCTGCCTAGGGGATGCTGATAGCCCAGGACTCTTGAGTTTTGCATAGTTGGCTAAAATATTTGCTCGGTAAAATGAGTCACGGTTTCGAATCTCGGTCTCGGTTTTCACTTCTTCAGAAGTGTGTCTAACTTTACAGGCCAGTGCGCTGCCCGTAAGGTTTCTAAAAATTAGAAAAAGTTTATGGTTACTACATTTTGGAATTCCTTTGAGGCTGAGAAATCACATCATGCAAACTATGCTTTAAAGGTTTCTTATTAACAGCTTAAGAATAGCTAAACTTCTGATTCTGTGAAAAAACAAGAGGGAATCCTCAATAGCCGGGGCACTTGAAATTCTTTAAGGCAGGATTAGAGTAAATCTATGAGATCTTTGTTTCCCTTTTCATTAGCTGTATTTTTGTGCATCAGCAATACCAAGCGGGGAGCGAGCGTATACCCGATTCGATTTTATTACTCATCAGGATCTCTACCAGTCTACCCTCAATTTGAAATTCTTTTAGGCAGGATTAGAGTAAATTAATCTATGAGACCTTGGGCGTGGTCAAATAACTCACTCAAAAGGGTTTAACCTCCTGAGTCGAAAACTGTAATTAGATCCCAAATTGGTCAAGAGATGACGAAACTATGAGCTAAACATTTGTATTTGAAAAACAACAACAACTCAGAGCCGTTCTATGAGCCGCTATGCCGCGGCTAAAAATATGAATAACCTTTGATACTTTTAGTGGAAGAATGATTTTACCCGTTCGTGTCGGAGAAATCGTCTGTAACATTACTCCTAACTTCACAAAACAATAATATAACACATTAACCCTAAAGCGAGAGTTTGGGTGACTAAGATAAAATGCTGAGAGCTGCGTAACAGTTTTGTTTTCAGGCTAAGCTATGAATTTCGTCTTCACTATAGATTGTTTACTTCTAAAGTTTTGATATATTTGTTTTGAATACACTTTTTTTTTTGTCAGAGCAGATGGAATTGGAGGTCATTCATTCACTAATATATAAACCCGTGTGTTATCCACGTGCTTAAAACGCCACTTTACGAACAGTTATACGCATTTAGATTTCCAAAATGAAGATTAAGAAACGTAAAAACGTTTTATTATATGCACCCTAAAATACTTTGGCTTTTATCTTAAAATATTGGCCAAAAGACAGCTGTAAATCACCCACTTTTACAAATTCCGATGTAAATTTTTTTACCTCTTACGAAGAGGTTGTTGTCCTTAAAATACCACTCCAAGTCTTAAAATAGACTATTTACTTCGAAAGCATTTGGGAAATGTGTGTATTTGGTTCAAGACAACACAAAAATAATCAAATTGTAATAAAATTGTTCTCAACTCTTGAAATATTTTGAAGTTTAGGATATCATGTTCACTGGTTAACTAAAGAATAAATCTTGTTTTACACCAAGCAGCACCATCAGTAACTGATCGATAGCAGTAAGTCGGGTTTGACTTTTGGTGGTTAGCGTCTCGGGTTATGGATCAAAAAGTTTAAGGTTCAAGACATGTTGCACTGAACACAGTCCACACTTTTAGTTGTGAGCGCGTTATAAGTGCAACTGTCAATTCCATTATTTGGTTGAAGTCTTGGTCCCGGAGACACTTTTCGGTTATCGAATTTTATATTAATTATTATATAATAATATTACTACTTCACTGGTTACTAACGGATTTAAATAAATAGTTCAAGTCTATGATAGACTTTTATGATTTGATATTTATACCTAGCATAACGCAGTACGGTAATCATACTTATGGCGAAATGAAATTGATGAGGATGACTTGTACTCTTGTATAATTCAGTGGTACAGCACTGGAGTTTTTAGCCTGGGGTACCGGGCTTAGTTCCCCGTATTAGAGTCACTTTTCGCTTATCGGCTTTTCAGGTAATATATTTAAAATTAATAAATACAATATAATAATATTATTATTTCACTGATTCAAAGAGTCTGACAAAGCCAATGGCGACAGGTGCTTCTGGCTGACTGCTCGCCCTCTGATCAAGTAGTTCAAAAGCTGACCAAAGCCGTTTGGCCCATAAGATGCTCTTCTGGTCGAAAATACCAATTACATTATATTTATAATGTAAAGTTTAAATTACAATCATCATTTTAAACTTTTAAGGTACGTGCGTGTTACTGGCAGATTCGCGCTCCAAATTTGGGACATTAAATGATCAATATTACCTGAACTTTGCTGACACTTTAATTCATTGTGCTACAGAAAGTGTGATATTACAGTCAGTTGAATACTGAAAATAAAAACAGGGGGGAGAACACGCAGTGAAAGTATTATATTAAAATCAGTTCGATAGAATAAATTCTTTGATTCAAGTGTAGATACACATATATAAAATTGCAATTGGCAAAAATCAGTTTATTCTCTATAGTTTACCCTCATTCTTTTTCATTCCACAAGTATACAATTCCTACCCAAGTCTGCAATTTGTATTCCTCGTAACAGATCTTGCGAATAATGAGTGCTTTTGAGCGATGATTAATAAGATGAAAACAATGGTAGGAGGAGCCATAATTCACAAGTTAGAAAATAAAGTAACACCAAAACTGAAAATATCGTTTGTTTGTGAGTTGTTGTTGTTTATTGTACAAAGCTATACCGCCAACTCATGGGCTACTCTTTTACCAACGAATAGTGGGATTGACCGTCACTTTATAACGCCTCCAAGGCTGAAAGGGGATTCGAACCCGCGACTCTCAGATTGCGAGTCGAGCGCCGTAATGACGTAGTGCATTAATAAAAGAACTCACACTCACTAACAGTTGTAACTCTTATCAAATGCACCCATGGTGTATTTTTGCTTGTTTATTTTAACGCAGAGCTACACAATAGCCTAACTGTGCTCTGTCCACCATGGGGAATCGAACTCCAAATTTTAACGTTTTAAGTGTGTAAACTTACTGCTGACCCACTACCCACTAGAGACTCATGTGTGTAGATAACAGTAAACGATAATGAATGAAAGTGAATATTTTATTACTCATGCATTTAAAAGATTGTTAAAATATAATCATTTCTATTTATTGTTTGCATACTAATCGTAATGAATTTCAAGGGTCGGGTATGGCTTAAAGTTAGCTTGCCGGATTGTGAATCGGAGGATCCATAATGCGAGAATATTCAAAAAACAAAACAAAACATAATAACATCAGTCCCACTAAATTTATAGGTGATTATTTTTAATTTTCTTATTCAATCAAATTCATTATTTATCATTTTGATTTTTTCGAACAGATAAGCCAATAGAACAAAATATATCCTACTTTAAACATGTCGTTACTATGTCACTTTCTAGAGCTATATATATTCAGAAGTTTCATATTTTTTTTATAATCTCATTGTCATGATATAAAAAAACTGTTTAGTGTAGATATTATTAATTTATTTATTTTGTGAGTGGATATTTTTTGATTGTTTAGTTTTGTTCATAACAAGAGAGTAAGAAACAATTATTTTAAAGTAAATGTTATGAGATGTTTAGTTAAGTAACTCGGTAAGAGTCGTACGTTGTGTTTATAACTCGTTGATGTCGAGATTATCAAACGTCACGTGAAATTTATTGATGTCGCGGATATAGCGAGTAGACAGTTAAGTAATAAACGTATAAATATTGTGAGATGAGCGGGAAAAATAGACAGACAAACAAAGACAGAGCAGACGAGAAGTAAGGTAAAATTACGAGAAGAAATTCGGCCAAAGAAAAGTTAAACGCAAAGTTAATCGTCGTAGGGGTGGAAGGCCTAACGATTAATATAGGCCTAGCAGTTAATATATTAGAATGAGACTAACGGTTTTGGAAGATATAATAAGAATAGTTTATTTCGTCAAAAAGAGTTCTAAAGTAATTTACTAGCCTCAGTGGACTTTGGCAAATAGACAGACAGACGATTCTCGGAATTACAAAGAGAGAAAGTGGAGCAGACGATTTTAGAAGTATAGGATAGATCCGTTGTAACTCGACGATAAAGTAAGTGAACTATACTCGGATAGTTTGGCGATATAGTAATAGAGAAAAATAATTCGGCTTGTCCACTGAAATTCTAAAGCAATTGAATTGGCCTAAGTGAACTTTTGACAACAAGAAGAGAACTATATAATGTTTGTGGTATGCCTATGATCTCTACAGTGTAAAGAATTTGTTGTACATACGTTTAACTAGTTCCAAGTATATATAGTATTTTGAAAACAAGTAGAGTGAGTGCTGTTCGTTGATTTTTGAATTTATCACCAACAAGTCACAGACACCTACTGTAGGACAGATATCCTTAGCCCAACACATCCATATATTTACTTAATACATACTTTAAAAAGTAAGTTGTTTTGACACACTTATATTTTGCTTTCAAATGAAATTCTAATTAAGTAACAAAGTAAGTTAACTTACCAGTGTACGAAATATTTTGAATATTACTTTTAAATATAAGAACGTTTCGTTAGCTATCTCTTCTCTGATTCTTGAATGACAAACAATATCTTAAAGTAATGGATTATTTGAAGAGAGATTCCTTTAGGCAAGTTTTAAACTCAATAATAATCCTGAAAAATCTGCAATGTTTGAAAAAAAATAACAACAAAAATACCCGATGATAGTCATAGAATCATTTCCTTGGATGAAGAAGGACATATTAAGACTGTTATCAGGAAACGAACAGTAAGCTAAAGTCAGAGATTTAACAAGTTTGTATAAGGATCCATCCGTGAATATTCATTACACAAGAAAAATGAGGCCAGTCATTCGCTGACACTTAAAACCACTGATGTGGTGAAGAATCAATTCTTTGGGTACGTTTCCTCACACAGAGAATAAAATAATGACAGACTTATAAAATAATATCCCATAATATTTGTTTCGTTAGTGATTTTAACAAACAAACCAATTAAAGGATCTTTAAGGAACTCTTATAACCTTCAAATAAAACCTGCGCCTTTTTTGTTTGTTTCTAGTGTTTCCTTCTTTTACAAATTGAAGAAAAACAGTACGTTTATACAAAATAGGTTTGGTTTAGTTTGAATTTCGCGCAAAGCTACACGAGAGCTATCTGCGCTAGCCGTTCCTAATTTAGCAGTGATAGACTAGAGGGGAGGCAGTTAGTCAATACTATCCATCACCAGCCCTCGGGCTACTCTTTTATCAACGAATAGTGGAATTGACCATCACTAAATAACGCTCCCACGGCTGAAAGGGCGAGCATGTTCGGTGATGGGGATTCGAACCCGCGACCGGCAGATTGCGAGTCAAGCTTCCTAACCATCAGGCCATGCCAGGCCTATACAAAATAGGAGAACCCTATGAGCCATGGGGGTGTTATAATGTGACGAACAATCCTAGTAACTTAAGAGTTGGCGGTGGGTGGTGTTGATTAGCTGCTTTACCTATCTAGTCTATCACTTCAAAATAGGGACGGCTAACTTTGATAGACCCCCAGTTGCTTTACTACAAATTCAACAAACAATTAATCGTCTAATTTTAAAAAATGGCCTTCGATAAGTATGAGAGCTTATAGCGCTAAAACTCGGGGTTCAATACCAGTAGTGGGCATAGCACTATATATATATATATATATATTGTGCTTAATAACAAACAAACAAACCTTTTTAATTAATCACTTGCTCAGTCTTAAACTGAAACAAAACGATTCTCAATTAGTGAGTCAGCCATCATTCATTCGGAGTGTTTAAGATACCTCTTGAATTACGTTAAACAATAACAAAAATTCACAAACCTAAAAAAAGACAATATATTAATTACAGTGTACGAAAAAAAAGAAAAGAAAAATGTCTCGGCCATTTTTTTAAATCAACCATTTAATAAGTTTAACTCCTTTGAATGAATATCATGTTCTTTTCTTAATTTGCAAGATATTACTGTTCAGTGATTGTAGATATAATTTTATTTCATAACTTGATGATTGACTAATAACCACTAAGTTATAACTGTTTTAGGCTTACAGCTCTGTTGCCGTCTCAGGAATACGCTCTGGGATTCTCTTCAAGTTTTTGTCTCGACAATCTACAACACCATCGAAGCAAGTGCAAGGATAAGGACACATTAGTTCGGTCTGGCAACCACTAGAGGTCTCCTCCACACCTGACGAAAGAGATAAGAACAAAGAATGTTGTAAAGTTTACAATCGGAACACAGATTGAAAATATATTCCTCAAAGCTAACGATGCTTCACGTGTATTAATGTGATGTAGTGATGTTCGATCGGATGTAGTTTGTTGAGAGCAAATAAGTTTTGTTACAACTGAAGTAGAGCGGAGTTTGATGTATTTTTTTTTATTCAAACAAACTAAATGGCGTTGTATCTGTTGTATTTTCAGTTCACTTTGGAGAATCTTATGCAAAATTCAGTCAGTGATGAAGTTGTGTTTATTGTATATTTTAACTACTTTGAAATTATTAGAATCTAAATCTTACGTTGAGAATTTATGTGTTGTGTTCGTTAGTTAAACAATCAGTAGCTAAATGTTAGCTAATGATGTTTGATTCATTTTACTCGTTATTTAAACTGGAATGATCACATTGTGACGTTTTGCATCACGTGTTTGTCATCTAAATTGGAATGGTCACAGGCTAAAAGTTTTGTATTAACATTTTTGTATTCGTTACTTAGACTATAACAGTTTCCCTGATCCCCATACTCATATTCTGTACCCACGGAAACTGATTCTACGGAGTATGAAAGCGACACATCAGTGAGTATGTAAATTAATGAACTTGAAAAAATATTATTTTCCTTTAATCGCAGTTTTTAGTTTTTACGAACTAGTGTAGAAGGTCGATCTTTGTTGTCACTTACTCCCCCTTTAGCATGCTCACACTTCCATAGGGGGCGTATCATAAGTTGGAAACCGCGATGTTAGAATGATCAAAGCTAAAAACTTACGTTATAAAGTTTTGCCTCTTTTATTTATCAGTTAGATTAGAACGATCAGAAGCTAAAAGTTAAATAATACAGTTTCGTCTTTTCAATTCATTAGTTGGATTACAACGATCAGAAGTTAAAAAATACAGTTTCGTATGTTATATTCATTAGTGAGACTGAGTGATCAGAAGTTAAAACTTACCGTTGCACCTGAGATAAGATCCATCTAAAGCTGCGACGTCTTTGTTCTTTAGGTAAAAGGGGAGAGCACAGCGTGCGAAGAGCCCTAAACGAGGGTTACTCCTCAACCAGCTAGCTAGCCAGGAGAGATGACAGTCGCAGGTAAGCGGGTTGTCAGATATACGCCTGTGGAAGTCAAGAACAGTTATAATGCTATTTATTGTGGCGACTACGGCCCTAAGCGGAATGAACAGTCAATAATACACAAAATTGATTTTATGAAAGTTACAAACAAACAAGCAAACATTTTTATTCTACAGAAAATCTTTGAGATATCAAGCACGCATGTGGTCCTGAAAATGCGATCGAGACCTTGAGTTCTATCCTGCAGATCTTGTTAGACGTATAAATCGTTCTTATTTTTGGCTCATTAAGTGATAAAATACTTATTGGGTAAAGATGGACAGACACGAATAATTACTAAACCCAACTAAAATACATGGCGTCAATTAGCAATAATTGCTTTCACTATTGCCGGTTTGTTAATAAATAATTTTGTCGTACAAATAAGATCATAGACCGTTAGCTCCCCACCACTAATGGCTCAACGGTAAGTATACGTACTTACAACGCTAGAAGTGAGGTTTAAATACTCTTGGTGGGCAGAACTCAGATAGCCCATTGTTTAGCTTTATTCTTTACAGCAACATAGACCGTTAAATTTATTTTATTTCGTTTTTTTTTCTAGTCTGTCACTGCATCAAATGTCTTCACACCATCAAGGATTATTAACGGTACCATCAGCGAATTCTTTAGAACCCATAGCAAATTTCATACAAGGTATAAAAGTTTTTATTTTTTTTTGTATAATGACTAACAACTTTTTAAATCTATGCGCCATCTATCAATTTTGGGAAAAAAATCTGTAACTCTTTCGAGTTATATGTTTATATATGTTTTTACAAGAATCCTTTTCAAATCCTATCTGACTTTTAGGGTGAAGAAAAGCCCTTTCAAATCCTACCTGGTACAAGTATATTTACAGTTAGAAGGAATTATTTTCGAATTCTACCTCGCTTATGGATTTTCAGGAGAAAGACGAAAATATTTTCGAGTGTTACCTGACTTAAGAACCTTTTGAAAGAAAAAAGGAAGAAATGAAAAAACCTTTACAAACATTACTTATCTTAAAAGCCCTTAATGCTAATCCTAACTGACCTTGGAATTGTTAGAGAAGTGTCCACTATATATATACACAGCGTGGTCACAAGTAAATAGACACCACCGTTTCAGAAAAATGACACTTTTCAGT